AACAGTCATCTCCTGAGGCTGAGGAGACAGAGCAGAGAGGGGACACCCCAGAATCAGAGAAACAACATGAACAGTCATCTCCTGAGGCTGAGGAGGAAGGAGCAGCTGCAGTGAAACCAGATGAGGGAGGTGCTGATGAAGATGAATCTGGAGCAGAAGCAGCAGACGAGCCTGAGGATGTCCAACATGAGGGGAAGGTGGAAGAACACACCACACAGGAAGCTGTGCCAGAGGAATCCCATGATGCAACAGAGACATTGGAAGTAGTGAAAGATGCTCCTGCAGAACAAACTGCAAAGGAGGTGAATGACCAGGCAAAAAAAGAAGAAAGTGAAATAGAGGGAAGGAAAGCAGAACTTGCAGCTGCATCTGAATCAAAGCAGACAATCAGGGAAAGGATCCCAGAAAAGGATGAAACAAAAGTAAGAGAAGACAGACAAGACCAATCTAAAACCGAGAAAGAAGCTTCTGGAGTAAAAGCCTTAAAGGAGGTGACAGACAGAGAGAAAACAGAAGAAAAGGCAGCAGAAGACAAACCTGTGTCTGAAGCTAAGTCCCAGAAGAGTGACATTGAAGTGGCCCCGGAGAAGGATGAGAAAGAAGAAGTGCAGTCAGAGGAGCCTTCTGAGGACACAACCCAGAGAGAGGAAACCAAAGAGTCTTCAGCAAGACCACAGGAGAGCCCAGTAAAAGAAACTGCAGAAGATCAATCAAAGGAGCACAGTGTTGTAGGTGTTGTAGTGGAGGAAGTGGAGGCTGCAAAGGAAAAGAGCCCAGAGAAAGAGACAGCAGAGGATCCCAAAGAAACATCAGTCAGACCCACAGGAAAGGAGCTTACAAGACCTACGTGTGAAGAGGGTGAAGAAAAGCCCACTGGTGTCAGAGCAGAACTTGACACCAGTCAACACAGTCCTGCAGAGGAAAAGGTGGACACAGTGATGGCAGCAGAGGTTTCTGAGTCTACACCTGAAAAGACCGTACAGGAAACAGAAGACAAACAGGCATCCAAACACCTCCTGACAGAGGAAAGAGCAGAACCACTGGCATCGGAAAAGGGGGCTTCCGGACCCGCGATTGAAGCAGAGACAACAGCTGCAGGTGCTGAAACTGAATCCACAGACCTTCAGGAACAGGAAAGTGTGAGTGAAGTCAAGCCAACAGAGAGCAGCGGTGACAAGAGTGACCACACCCACGAGAGAGCAGAGTCAACGGTCAAGGCCAGCGATTCAGTGGACAGAGACTCACAGAAGGAAGACACATCCGCTGATCAGAAAGACACAGCGAAAGAATCAGAAGGTTACCAGAAGCCGGAGTTGACACTGTGTCCTAAAGAAGGACTGGAAGCTGACAGCTTTCCAGGCACCAGGGAGAAGAAGGATAAAGAACCAGAGGAACCAACACAACAGGAACAGGAGGGAAGAGCTGAACAGAAACAAGATCCAGTGAAGGAACTCAGCGCAGGACCGAAATCTCAAGACCCTTCAGCCCAAAGGGAGAGACCATCTGAAAGCACAAAGACAGACAAGCGGGGGGACATGAAGCACACAGAGGGGATTCCACAGAAAGAGAAGCAACTGGAGAGGCCAGGCA